TCAACAGGTAAAAAGTTTTGGGCATAAAATTAGCTAATCTTACATAATTTTGGGGTGCTGAAAACAAAAATGACCCTAAAAAATGTTGATTGGCTCTAGTTTCAAAATTATGATGCAACTTCAGCTGCATATTGCGCAATTGATACTGGTGACCAATAGAAAATTGCATGTATACTATTATGATACAATATTAGCCTTTAATTGCATCACTTCACTGCATAAAAGCTGCAGTATCTGTAGCTGATTGTAGTTCGACAGCGTCTTTACATTTCGTTTTATGCTTATATAGGCTACTCAGTAATGCCTCGAACTTGTGTGAATAAAGCAGATAATTTCTGCTATATCTGCGGTGAAATAACTTTTATCTCACAAAAAAGGAGGATAACAGGAATGATTAAGAAAGCCTACAACTTGTATTTTGGCTGCAAGATAGGAGACCAGGACAAGAGCTGGGCACCACATATATGCTGCAATTCTTGTGGGACGGCACTGGAGCAATGGTTGAATGGAAAAAAGGCATCTATGCCTTTCGCTGTGCCAATGATTTGGAGAGAGCCAACAGATCATGTTAGTAATTGTTACTTTTGTATGGTGCCTCCAATTGTAAAAGGGCTAAATAAGAAGAAAAAGTTATCTGTGCACTATCCAAATATTCCCATCGGCAATACGTCCAGTTCCTCATGGAGAGGGGCTACCAATTCCTAAAGCACCAGAATCCTTCGTGGTTGAGTCAAGTGAGGAAGAATCTGAAGCGTGTAGTCACGTGCAGTTGTAAGAGATAGCCCTTTCCTCGAATACAAGAGAAAAGCCAAGAGAAGCAAAACCGACACAAACTGAAGACAAAACTAGTGAGAATCCTAAGTATTAAAATGATTCAACTTAGCTTATGGCTATAATTTTTCTTGGTAATCCTATGCAATATATTATGCCATTTAGGCTTTGTTATGTAGTCAATATCACTTGCTTTATATTTGTGGAAAGACATCTATCTATATAATTATTGTGCATTATGTAGTCATTACGCCTATAGTAGAAAAGGTTCCGTTTACAGAAAAACTAGAGCCAATTGACAAATTTCATTGTTATATTTGAACTCAGAATGTGAAATTCATTAAGAAATGGATCCGTTTGTTTCCAAAACTGGCAAAAAATAAAAATTTGTTGAACAGTGTTATTCTTAGGTCCAATTTTCGAGCCATGTATGGTCGGCCATAGTCTTGGATCTGACCTTGTGAAGGGAGTGATCTATGTGATAGCGACTGGCGGACATGAAAAATGATGCAGCTCCAGCTCTGTATTCATGGGCCTCATTTAGACATGCGGTTGGGAGGTGGTAATTATCTGGGGCTGAGCCTCGTTTTTTAGTGCCCCTCCTCCCATAGTGCGGTGTGTCTACATGCTGTGGCTGCGATGCTTCGTGCTCACGGAAAACTGCCCGCCATGTTTCCAACGGCAGCCATCAAGCTTGCTGAAAGTGACCCATTCAAGCGAACAGGGAAGTCCTACACAGGGGCGGACTGACAACTCATGGGGCCCCTGGGCAATAGGGGATCATGGGGCCCCCGTGTCCTTGCCCAAACTCAAAAAAGCCTATGAAAAAGGTACTAGGGGCATCTCATGGGCCCCCTACTGATCCCGGGCCCTCGGGCAGTGCCTGAGTTTCCAAATGGTCAGTCCGCCCCTGGTCCTGCAAACGCTCACAATGCCTGTGGTCGCTGTGTGCTTGGTGGGTAAAAATGGGGCTAACACAAGAGGCAAAGACGCATCACATTGTCTCCTCGCTGCCAGTCAGTTGCCTATGAAAAGCAATCAGAATGTGAGATCACTCTTCAAAGGAGCAGCGGGTTTAGAAGCAGGTCTAAGGCTCCATTCACTTGTGCAACTTGTCGTATTACTTTAGACACCAAGGTTCCATTCACACCTATACGGCTCCAAAGTCATGCGACTTTAGAGTGCAACATTGGATGGGTGCAACTTGGATACGACTTCGGCTTTTGCCATTGATAATAGACAACTGTTGGCTGAATAACATTCAGGTGCAATTTTCATATGACTTTTAAGGGTTTACACTGCAGTCTATGGCACTCAAGTAGCATGAAAGTCGCTCCAAAGTAGTGCAGGAACTGCTCTGAAGTCGTATATATTTGAACAGTTGTCACTGAAAAACATGGAGGACAACTTGTCCTCCAGCTTTAGGCTCAGTTCACACTACTGCGACCTGAAAGTCAAGAGACTTACAGTGCAACTTTGCCAGGTGACTTTGTGGCGATTTGCTGGCAACTTGAGCACTACTTTGGTGCGACTTTCATGCCATGCGACTTTGCCTGTGGCCAAAGAGAATGTAATGTCAGATCCAAATCACACCAATATAGATGAGGATCCGACTTGGAGGCGACTTCTATTAAAGTCTATGGGCACAAGTCGGATAGAAGTCGCCTTGAAGTAGTACAGGAACCTTTTCTGAAGTGGAAGCGACCTCAGTTGTGCTGATTAAGACGGCTCTCATTGACCAACATGGGATTTCACATGTTATGCGACTTGGGGTCTCACAAGTCGCATCCTACGTTCCAGGCAGTGTGAACCGAGACTAAACCTAGTTGTAATATACTCATTGGTTTATGATCATGGACCCATTGTATGAGCCCTGCTTCACACTGGATCCCACTTTGAAATTGTGCGACTTGAAGTTGCACAACTTCGAAGTCGCACAATTTCAAAGTCCAACGTGAAATCGCACCATTTCAAAGTCGCACTTGAAGTCGCTCATTTTCAAAGTCGCTCTTGAAGTCACTCAATTTAAAAGTTGTACCATTTCAAAGTCGCACTCGAAGTCTCTCAATTTCAAATGCGCACCATTTGAAAGTCGCACTTTAAGTCGCACCATTTCAAAGTTACACTTGAAGTCGCACCATTCCAAAGTCGCACCATTTCAAAGTTGCACTTGAAGTCACTCATTTTCAAATGAGTGCACCTGAAGTTGCTCAATTTCAAAGTCTCACCATTTCAAAGTCGCACTCGAAGGCTCTCAATTTCAAAGTCGCACCATTTCAAAGTCGCACCATTTCAAAGTCGCACCATTTCAAAGTCGCACCTGAAGTCGCACCATTTCAAAGTCGCACCTGAAGTCGCACCATTTCAAAGTCGCTCTTGAAGTTGCACGGTTTCAAAGTCGCTCTTGAAGTTGCACGGTTTCAAAGTCAGATGGCTGTGTGACTTCATGCACAGATGTCTAGGCAAATTGCACCCCAAATTGGCAAAAGTAGAGCCGGAACTACTTTTCTAATCTTTGTTGATCTGACAGTTCCATTGCCAATGAATGCATGCGATTCGTCATGTGATCTGAATGGTCAAATCGCCTGACAAATCCCATCAGTGAGATCCAGGGCTCTAATCTGCAGTTATAGAATAAACAGCAAAAACTGATAAATATCAGCCAGCCGTGAGCTGAGTGTACACAGAGCTGTGACATCTATGGGCAGTGCGGGCGGAACACACTCTAGACTCTAGAGGCACATCATACACGTCACTTCCACGGCAGGATGATTCTTATGGAGGAGATCAGAGACCAATCAGTGCGGAAAGCTCAGTGATTGACAGAAGCAGGAGCCAATAGAAATGAAGAGTTTAGTTGTAGAAGATGAGAGCACTGCGTGTGTCAGGTAATGTGGGTGCACACAGTGTGGGGGGTAGGGCGCATTCTATGGACAGGGACTGGGAGGGCTCTGTGTTCTTCAGTCAAGGGCTTCCCCTGGACTGCCCTGTATTGGAATAGGCAGTGCTGGTTGTCTATAGGAAGTAATATCAGTGGAGTCCTCATAGCTGCCAGGCTGGAATATTCTAGCTCTTGTCCATAGCAATGCAATGCATTTTTTTTTTTCTTGCTTGTATGTTATTGGGCTGTGTTGACACATGCGTGTTTACTTGTGCACATCATGGGTCAGATATGCTGGGGGGGGGGGGGGGGGGGGGTTTGAGGGAGATCCCCAAACTTTAGTGAACACGCCTCACAGAACCGCACTTTGCTGCGGCACTATGCGTTTTCGGAGGGGGGGTGAAATCATCCGCAGGGCTGTCGTTAGGCCTCATTCACATCTGGGTGTTTGTGATCTCAGGCAGAATCACGCTACGATCCCTAAACACTGCAAAAATGACAAATCGCACAATGCCTGTTCACAAAGTACTGTCAATTCCAGAGCGTTCCAGAAAAAGTAGATGCGTTTTATCTGCACGGAATTGTACTGGAACGCGGTAAAACGCATAAAAAAATAGTGATGCACCAATATGTCGGCCACTAAAAATTATTGGCTGAAGATAAGGTTATCAGCGTTTTCCCAAGAGAAAAAAAAAAAAAAAAAAAAAAAAAGTGCTGATAATGATAATTGGCTTCAATGCAAAATTACATCCCATTGGCTTCAATCCCAAAAAGTCACCTATAGACTTAAGTGCAGAATCACGCCCCAGTGACTTCAGTACAAAAATGCCTCTTTTTAAAGTGTTAATAAATTCCCCCGGACCCCGCATTCCCTATATCCGGTCTCCCCCCGGACCCCGCATTCCCTATATCCGGTCTCCCCGGACCCCGCATTCCCTATATCCGGTCTCCCCGGACCCCGCATTCCCTATATCCGGTCTCCCCGGACCCCGCATTCCCATTCCCTATATCCGGTCTCCCCGGACCCCGCATTCCCTATATCCGGTCTCCCCGGACCCCGCATTCCCTATATCCGGTCTCCCCGGACCCCGCATTCCCTATATCCGGTCTCCCATAGAACATGGAAATGCAATTATTTTATTAAATATAAACTGCTAAATACCTTTTCTCATCAGCAATTATAGTCTTGTGACTTCTATCAGTGTCCAGCTCAGCACTGGTTAAAGCTTGTAGGAGGAGTTTTCATTTTGTTCTAGGAGGATGCAGAATCCCCGACCTCTGGACAGTGCTGATTGGCCCTGTGCTGATCACATGCACTCTCCCCAAAAAAAAACAAAAAAAAAAAAAAAAAAAACAAAACAACCTCTCTAGCAATACACACCAAACTGAGCATGTGCAGAGTGTCTCCACACGATATATCTTATAAAATAAGAGGGGGACACTGGAAGAAGGGGAGGATCTGAGAAGACAAGATCAAACAGCCTTTTTACACAATGCAGAGGATTAACCCCTTAGGTTCCACAGCGAGTATAACAAGCATGCTTTACTGCATATACAGACTGATTTTACTATTGTGGGTTTAGTAGCACTTTAAGCTTTTTAATTTTATATAGTATATATTTTCTGTCCAATTTTTGTGTGTTACTTTCAATAAAAGTTATTTTTTTTATTGGATTGTATTTTTTAAGTTCATGTTAATTTAAATTCATGATATGAAGTCGAATATAATACAATTATATCTAAAAATGTATTTAAAAAAAATCCACTAAAAATAAAAAAAACGTCCATTTCGTTTTTTTTTTTTGGCCAAGGGCATCCTGAATATTTGATTTCGGTCCAGAATTCTCATTTTGGTGCCCCACTAGAATGCAGATTCCTTATTTAGGCCAGGTTTGCACCTGTGCAGTTTTTTTAATGCATTTTGCAGGAACGCAGTGCATGCCATTTATCATGATTTCCTATGGATCACGTTCACATTTATGTGTATACATCAACAGACAGCAATGAAAACTGACAGGGGATCTAATCCATCACCACTCTGCCTTAAAAAAAAAAAAAAAAAGTTATACTTTATGGCACTTATGTGCGTCTGCTGGGGTCGGGAAGATGTGATTTTGTGCGTTTCCTACCCACTTCCCATCCGGCCCATGTATATAACGGGCTGGACGGTGGCAGTGTAGGAACGTCGTTGCTGTTCATAAACGGCGCCCGCCATTTTGGACTGTGTGCGCTCCCTGGGAGCACGCTGGATCGCGTTCCGGTGCCCGCTGTGTCCCCTGAACACCAATCGCTGTACGGAACCTCTGTGTGAGGTCCTGATCATGTGATCACTGGTTGGCCAATCAGTGATCACATGAATAGTAGTAAGCAAGATGTCACTTCTGACATCATTGCTTACTACGTGTGAAATCTGAATGATCACAGAGGTCACATGGTACAGGGTTATTCACAACAGCCTTGTACCATGTGACAAGCTGTGACCAATCACAGCTCACACAGTAGTTCTCAATGGCTGCAAAAATGTAGCCAGAGAGAAGGATAAATGTTTGCTTTTACAGCCTTTATGGGTGTAAAAGCAATCAGTGTAAAAAAAAAAAAAAAAAATCTTCATCACCCCCCACAAGTAGTACAGTTTCACTATGGTGACACGGCACTGCTAGGGTGACAGTATGTAAAAAAAACAACAAATATAAAAAAAATAAAAATGTAAAAAATTTAAAAAAAAAAAATTATAATTTTTGGTTAAAAACTAAATTTGGGTTGTTTTTTTTTTTTTTTTACTAAAAATATATACTTTTTTGGCCAAGATTTATGAAGAAAGATTATTTGCAAAATTTCATAAGAAAAAACTTTTTTTTCAAAATTTTTGGACTTTCATTTATATAGCAAAAAAAAAAAAAATATTAAAAATCCCAGTGGTGAATAAATACCACCAAAATAAAGTTTTATCTGTCTAAAAAAAAAAATGCTGAAAAATTCATATGGGTACAGTGTGGCATGACCGCGCAATTTTCATTCAAAGTGTGATAGCACTGAAAGCTGAAAATTGGCCTGGACAGGAAGGGGGTAAAAGTGTCTGGACTGGAAGTGGTTAAAGTGGAACAATAGCTAAAATATTCCATATGTGATGCAGTCTGTCTTTAGAATTAACAGCAGGTTTTGTTTCTCCGGTATAACCCGTCAATCCCGCCATTCAAAGCTGCCTTGTGTATGGCTCCTGATAGGAAAGTATAATAAATATCCTTGGATCTGGAATGAAGGGAAGTATCAAGGTGGGGTGCACTCAAGAGGGGTAGGCAAGTGATTAAAGGTACCAGAGGCGGACTGACAACTCATGGGGCCCCCGGGCAATAGGGGATCATGGGGCCCTGTGTCCTTGGCCAAACTCAAAAAAGCCCTATGAAAAAAGGTACCAGGGGCATCTCATGGGGCCCCCTACTGACCCGGGCCCTCAGGCAGTGCCCGAGTTTCCAAATGGTCAGTCCGCCCCTGAAAGGTACCATTGCCATTGAACTACTTCCTGCCTGGCCTACAGTAAAATGTGGCGGGTGCTTTCCCATCCTGGGTGGATATCATATGACGTCCTCCCTGGCACGTGCCTCATGTTCTGGTTGGTATTCCCATAATGTAGCGTTGCAAGCTTTACACCCCAGTCACACCGATCCGACTTGGAAATTGTGTTACTTCCAGTGAAGTCACACAATTTCGAAGTCAGATGGTATTCCGACTTGAGGTGACACAGATGTTTATGCAAGTCACACCTACAGTATTGCAGGCACTACTTTACACATCGGTGTGGCTCTGGCCAACTCTGAATCGCACCAATATGACCGCTATAATATATATATATTACAATATAATTGCAGACAATTTGCAAGTCGCATGGCATGGCAAATCACATGCCAAGGTGCGACTGGGGTCTTTAAGCCTCAATAAACCCTGGAAGTTGGTGGCACTGAATTCCACATGACAGCTAGGGTTAAAGTCACTACACATACACAGTGGGCTTGATTTACTGAAGGCAAATAGTTTGTTCATTTTGAAAGGAAAGTTGCACTTTGGTGATTTTCCCCAGAGCTTAGTGAATGTAGTGAAGTTTTACTTTGCAACGAATACTAAATCTCGTGCAAAGAAATTTACAAAAAAAAATTTTTTTTTTTTTTTTTTTTTTTTTTAACAAGCTCAGGGGCAAACCCCCTTGCAATGGACAGCTTCCTTTGCCAAGTCAACAATCTTTTTGTTAATAGTAAATCAATACCTATAAGTCCAATCAAAATTTTGGGACTGAGACCGATACATACAAGTTGTAACGGAACCGGACCCAGAGCGCACGTGGGTATTTCTGTTAGACTCCAGCTTTCCTGTCCGATCACAAAATCCCTGGACACCACCGCTGATCATGCAGGAAATATGACAGCACAAGACTCTCTTAAGACAGGAAGTCAACTCCTTTATTTTAACAAAAACACAAGATATATACAGAGGGCGGGGAAATACAACCAGGAACAGGAAACACATCACAGGCCATCCCATCAGGAGGGAAGGGCTGCCAGAAACACCCCCCACCAAACCAAGACACATAATAGAACAAAGGGATACACCACATGGCAGTAGACAATAGGGGAACATGTGCATCCCAGAATAGTTTGCTAGAACAATGGGATGCATCTGCATGGCAGAGAACAATGAACAACCCCCACACCCAACCTATACATGTCTACACAATATCAGGACAGAGCACCCTGCGACCCTAACAGGCACAGGGTGCCTTTACACATAAGAGGGATTTGGGGAGATGATACAGGGATCCCCCCACCCCCAAATGTCACTCCCGTCACACAAGGCAGAGCTGGGAATGTAGGCTATCCTTTTCATAATGAGGCCTGTATTATGTAGTCTCCATACTTCTCTTAGGACAGATTCTCTTTAATCACTAGAGCTTGGGAAGGTTTTACCCCCTTCTTGACCAGAGCATTCATCACTGTGCTACCTTAGCTGGCAATAGCGCAGTCATGCAACACTGTACACAAAAATAACATACATAGAACTTTATTTTTGTGGTATTTGTTCATCACTGGGGTTTTATTATTTTTTTGCGCTCTAAATGAAAAATACAGAAAACACAAAACAATATTTTCTACTTTGTTATTAAACATATCCAATCAAAAAATTCAAATGTCTTCATAAATTTCTGACAAAATGTATTCTACTACAAATCTTTAGTAGAAAAAATCCTAATAAGTGTACATTAATTGTTTTGTTGTGAATGTTAAAGAGTCTACAAACTATGGTGTATATACTGGAATATACACAGCTATGACATTACACTTGTGGTGATGATCAGTGACTTATAGTGGGCCTGTGATAGTGTGGCGGGAAATCTGGCGCTAGCTGATGCTGGGTGGGATGTACACTGACACTGACATAAATAGTCACACTAATACAGTGATCATTGCTAATACTGTACACTGTTATTGAACTAATGACACTGACTGGGAAGAGGGTTAACATCCAGGGGCAACCAGAGGGTTAACTGTGTGCCTGACACTGTGCTTTGCAGGGAGAATAAACAGCCAAATCACTGTAGCTTGTAAACAGAGTTCTGTGTTTTGTTCTGTGTGTAATTGGGCACAGCCGATCAGCTGACTTCAGCCAAAATCATTGGCTGAAGTCAGCTGCCAAACTCATGCTGTGTCCAATCACAGATAATGACAATAATGACACTGGCTGAGGGCTAACCAGAGGGTTAAACTGTGTGCACTGTGTAATGTGTATTATATGCTGCTTTCTACTTTACTGTATGGCTGTTTATTCTGTATTTTGTAAACACAGAACTCTGTGTGTAATTGGGCACAGCCGATCAGCTGACTTCAGCCAAAATCATTGGCTGAAGTCAGCTGCCAAACTCATGCTGTGTCCAATCACAGATTGGGTTGGCAGGTGGCTTGCGTATGCGCGCCCCAAACCCGGCAGGGAGATTGCAACGCACAGGTAAATCACCCGGCCTGGAGCTGCCACCTGCTCGCGGTACATCTACTGTGGGCAGGCGGTAAGCGGTTACAGATTACTTTTACATTTGCTGCATTTTTTTGGTTTCATATTTAACTAATCTAATGAGCGCACATATTGCTGAGTCTTGAAGCCATTAGGTGTATAAATGACAAAACTGTGACCGCCACCAAGGTAACAGTAGCAGCTCACCAGATAGAAAAGACCCAGCACAACAGAGGTCAAATGTGCATTATAAACCAAATCTTTGTAAGGTGCAGCACTTTAAGTGAGACTCCCTTAATGTGCAGTCTTCCACTACCCTAGTACAGTAAAGACAATATCTTACCAGAAAGATGGACCCCACATGTCAGAGATCAATACACATTTTTGTATGGTACAATCTCCCGTAGAGGATTACCTAGGAACATAGACCAGTAAAACTCAGAAAGGCAGCACACTGGCTCTTTGTTTCGAAAGTTTGAAGACCCCTGAGCTAGAAGGTTGTTGCAGTATACATTTGAAAGTTATAGCTGTTCTTTCTCTGCCTGTGTGACTTACAATTTTCCTTTTTTCTAACACTTTTCCTGTTTTCTTTTGTTCTAGTTGTTAAGAAGTGGTGTGTGTGGGGGAGAGTATGTTTCTCCACGCAAGCCAATGTGGAATGCATAGCTCCTCTGTTCCAAACTGTGCAAGAAACGCCACAGCCAATTCCAGCCAAGGTCAGAGGTGCCATCCCAAAGTGGATCCAAGGCAGTCTTCTACGTAATGGACCTGGGAAATTTGAATTTGGAAATGACAAGTATGAATGTTATTTGTTGATATTGACTTGGTGGAGTATAGAGTGTGGGGTTTGTAGGCTTGCATGAATGAAGACATTGTCACGATCTGGGTCAGGTTCAGAGACCAGTTGCTAGAACAGTGTAAGGATTACCTTAAACCAGCAGGATAGGTACACAGGCAGGTCACCCTGGGAAATCACACAGGCTCACCTGAGGTGCGGGGTCTAAGCATTAACCGGTTTTCACCAGAGCTCCTAATGGTGGAGATGGATTTGGCTGCGTGTCAATACCAGGTCGCAGATCTCAGGATCACCCCGCCAGGGAATGAGCAAGCCGGTAACCGATAGCGGATCAAACAGATTAGGGATAAGCAGAAGCAGAGTCAAACAAGCCAAGGGTCGGTCAAAGATAGTAGAGGATGAGCCGAAATCGTGGTCAGGAACAAGCCAAAGGTCGGTAGCGGAGGTGTAGATGGCAGCAGGAACAATAAGCGGGCTATTGGCTGGTAAGGCACAATAATCTGGCAACCAGGAAGTGCAGAGACATGGCTTTTATAGGAAGTTCATGGGAGGAGCAAGGAGTTCAAGGTTCAAGACAAAACAGGGCAAAGGCAGGATCATCCAAAGAATTGTCAAGGGAGTTGTCCAGCATTCCAGGTGGCTCAATGAGAAGAAACACTGTCTCTCACTGCAGAAGGCCCAGGTTCAATTCTGGGCTCTGACAGACATGTACAAATAAAGAGTGCCAATCACCATAGGGAAGCTTGTAATATTTCAATTTTCCCTTGTGTTATGTTAGTGCAGGCTTACCTCTGGAGTAATATAAATAACAGGAGTATGGTGCTCAAGATGTCTATAACATATGGAGATAAAAGTCCAATTAAAATATAATAAGAATGTAATAAGCCCCTCTTCATAGGGACATCTATAACATCATATATGCTTCAATCTGGTCAAGGAAATATAGGGGACCCACCGTCACCAACACCAGAAAAAAACTCTGCCTCTTACCAGAAGAAGTTGATCCCCAATTACGGAAGGGTCAAAATGCGCAATACGAATTCCCAGGAGAATGGCGTAAACCTGGATATATGTTAGCTCGGAAGGAGCAAAGATGGACCCCCGTTGTGCAAGGATAAGCTCGCGTAGACCTAATTCTAACAGCAAACCGTGCTCAGGATATTGATAGCTGCCCAAAACTTGAACTTCAGAGGTTAGATGGAAGAAATAAACCTGTAACAAATGAATTCTCCTCACAGAGGACAATTCAATTCCAAAGGAAGAAAGAACTTCATAGTGTAGTATTTCCAGAAAGATTTAATGCCTCAAAGTGTAGTATAAAATGTACATCTAAAAATAAAAAAACAGCATGTCACCATAGAAATGGATGGTATGTTTCAAACCATAAAGATGGCTGCCACTGGAGTAATACTTGATTTTTTGTTATGCCACGTGGAAGAGAGAATGATCACGCTGGCTTGCAGAGAAAAGCAGATGAGGTAGGAATCTACCTTTTTGGCTCGGGAAATAGCTACACCCTGATGTCACATATATTCATCTCAGCCTGTATTGTTCACTATGAAAGTAATTCTAAGGTCAGCAAAGCAAACTAGAATTTTTTCTAGAAGGGCC